AGAGACAGGAAAGACAGGGAGAGGGAAAGTGAGAAATCACCCCTGAGCGGGATGGCTTCACCTCAATCCCTCCTCCTTATTCTCCTGTCAGGATTTTAGGCATGCGTGCACACACACCCGGTGTGTTTTTCAAGTTGCTGATTCCAGTCCCAAACATGCAGTCGGTCTTGTGGGACCCAGGGGCATTAACCTCCATGCCACCTGCTGACCTGAAAGCTAGTCTTTCGAAGGTGGGGAGGCAACATTGAAATGAGACCCTTAAATCCTGTAATACAAAGTTTGAATTCTCAAATTCAAATGGAGTTTGACTCTAAATAGGCTTTATGCCTCATATAGGAAATAGTTAACAGAATGTGGCTCGAAGAAGAGTGCTCAGACATGGGAACTGGAAGTGCTCAGACATGGGGCTGAATTGCTGTGTGACCCTGGACAAGTCACTCAAGTACTCTGGGCTTTAGCTTCCTCATCTATAGACAGAGGCTGTTTGCTGAACTCCCTTCTCTGTTTGGTCATCTAGGTTATTCATAGGCATTCAGGGTCATGCTCAGGCATTGGGACAATAAAGGATGTGCCTTTCAGTGTTGATTGCCATCTCTGACAGGTCCTGAGTGTGTTCTTCTTTTTTTTTTTTTAAGAGAAGATTTTTTTTTTTCAGCTATAGGGTGCATGCACTCACCAGAGAGACAGAGAGAGACAGAGAGACAGAAAGCGAGAAATCGCCCCCTAGGGGGGATGGCCATGCCACAATCCCTTCTCCTCCATTCTCCTCTCGGGATCTTGGGCACGCGTGCACACGCGCCCTTCATGAGTTTAAGCCACTAGATCCAAGACTCGAACTGCGGTCGACTACATGGGAGTCCAGCGACATAGCCATTACATTAACTACTGGTCTCCCTGAGTGTGTTCTTATGGTGATGAGGCTGGACGATAGCTTGCCACTTTATTTTCATGTTTTTCAGAGCTGCCGTGGTCCAGTTACAGTCTTGTTTTTCCCACTAGCATTTCTCCTCAATGGTAGATGACACTTTGTTTTTACTTGGCGGCTGCTATAAGCAGATGGGCAATATCTCTCACCCCTGGGGACAGCTTAGGAGGGTTCCCTGTGATCCTGCAATTCCCCCAAGAGCTCCATGACAGTCCTAAGACAGTATGTGAGGATGGCTACCTTCCCCTCCCCAGCTTCCAAGGTGACTCCATGTGCTTTTTAAAGCAAATATAAAGGAAACTGGTCATAATCTTTAAGAAGACATCACTGAAGATAACAACGTTTAACATTTATTGAGTACTTACTGTGTAGCAGACATTCTGAGTAGTTAGCCAGTTTAATCCCAGTAGTGACTCTATGAGGTAGAGATGAATCTTAGTCCCATTTTGCAGATGAGGAGACTGAGGCATAGAGAAGTTAAGTGATTTATCCGACGTCATGTAGCTGGTAAATTGCAAACTCTAATAGTCTGGTTCTGGAGCTTACATGCTTAATCACTGTGCTACGGCTGCTTCTCAATGATTTGTAGCAATCGCTAATGTTTTATCTGTGATTCAGAAATATTTTAAAAGAAAAATGAGGAAAATATCATTTTCTTTGCTTTGCTTATTTACCAATTTAATAGACATACCATGCTTTAAACAGAACGTTAAGCTGAACTACAGTGGGAAATAGTTATGATATATTTGAACAGATATTTATACATAGAGTTGGCCCCATAGCCCAGTGTTTGAGGTAGCTGAATCCCACACACATGGCCACCTACATGATCAAATCTCCTCCCCGGCAGCTTGAAAACCATTCCAGGTGTGTGCGTCCTAAACCCCAACAGGATGGAGAAATGGAGGACCGTGGCGTGACCAGGTCCCACTCGAGGCTGCTTTCCCCCTTTCTCTCTCTCTCTAGTGAGAGCATGTGCTTTTTGGCAAATTAAAAAGCACATATTTATAGAGCCAGCTCCATGGTTTGGTGATAGGTAGCCAGATGTGACTTGACTGACTGCATGGTTCAAGTCTTGAGAAACACGCTGAGTGTGTAAGTACATGTGCCCAAAATTCCAAAAGGAGAGACAGAGGAGAAGGAATTGCAGTGTGACCATGCCTTGTAAGGGGTACTTTCTTCTCTCCCTCTGTCATTGGCGAGCTCGTACATCCTCTAGCAAAAATAAATCAATTTAAAAAAAGTGTATGTGTATATACATATATATATTATATATACATATATGTGTATATACACTACTACACACACACAGAGATACACACATACTATATTTATATCTGGTATACCTATAGATTCACATATTTAGCTATATCTTTAGACACACACAGAGAAGGTGACATACACAAAAATACCAAAGTTAGATCAGATTAGATCAGCTTAACTCCAGGTGGTCAAAAATGCTACCTTTCCCCTCGGTCTTTTCTAATACGCTCGTGTTTGCTTAAAGTAAATGACTTGCATACTGGAGAAAACAAACCAACGCTCTGACTATTTGAGGCACACTTAAGCTGACACATCTAAAAAGGCAAAAGGCCTTTTGCTGAGCTCAAGTGGCTAGGGCTCCAGAGGGCCTGTGGTTAGGCTGGGCGTGAACAGGAAGTCCATTCCAGGCTGACCACTGAGGACACCGAGTGCTCTTGGTGCTCAGCGCCAGGCTGTGGGATCAGAGAGGGCAAAGGCTACTGCCCAGCGAGTGTAAGGAGAGGCCCCTGTGAGTTCCAGCTTTCCTTATTTGCACAAACTAGAGACTCAGTGCGGCCTTGAAATGATCTTGCAGATATGGTTTGCATCATGATCAAGCTTTTTATAGCATGTGTGAAAAGAGCAAGATACACAACTAGACACATGGTTTAATCCTGATTTTGTTGGGGAGAAAACCAAAATGTGATGAAAAAGTTTCTTTCTTTTTTTTCATGAGTGAAAGAGAGAGAGACCATACCCCCAAAAGGGTTTGCATGCTACCATCCACCCCCAGCTTCTGCCAGTCTTGGTCATGGACACATTTGTGCCCAGTCATAGTCAGCATAGTCATGAACCTAGCACCTTCTCTTCATCATGTTTTATCACTGGTCCACCATCCAGCTCCCCCAAATATGTTTTTTTTTTTCTTTAAAATTGTTGCTAGAAGGCCCATGTGCTTGCCAGACAGAGACAGAGAGTGAGGGAGAGGGAGAAAGTACCTCCCAATAAGGCGTGGTTGCACTGTAATCCCTTCTCTATGCCTACATCCTGTTAGGATTTCAGACACACTTACACACATGCCCAGTGGGGACATGATTTGAACTGCACAGTCAGCCATGTGGGATCTAGTTTCCTTAACCACCAGACCATGGGACTGGCCCCCAAATATGATTTTATATATCTTCTTTTTCTCCATTTATTTTATTATTATTATTTAATTTTGCTATAGGACACACAATTTATATGAGAAAGAAAGAGAAAGCCGTCAGGACTGGGGACTGGGCCACATGGGAGTTCAATGCTCTATCATCACACCACCTGCTGACCCACATATATCTTCTTTATACTTTTCCATAATGCCCAAATAATCTACATTGAGCACGTATTACTGTTGTAATGAGGAAGAACTCTAATAAATATCTTTTAAAAAGATCATTGTTTCTGACTGGAATAGAACTTTCCAAAGAACCTGGACATGTTATTATGACCTAACACCCCAGATGCCGTGGAAGGAACTTTCTTAAAGAGCCTAAAGGGACTTTCGGCTTGATCTTGTTCTGCTGCTCTAAGAGGTGCTGGGCTTAGGTCTTGGAGGCCCCAAGTGTTGTCCCTGCTGTAAGTTTACAAACTAGCCTCCCAGAGTCCAAGGTTCTGTGGAGGGACATCAGAGCTTCCAGGTGATAAAGGGAGGGCAGTATCACAGTTACCTCTTATACACAGGGCTTTTCCATAAGTTTTTCTTCCCCCCCAAAAGGATATGATCCCTTAAAACTACTTAATATAGTTACTTAAAAGCAAAGAGTGGTCTGTTCCAACTCTCTCATCACTGACACTCACCGTTGAATGGGTTTGCTCAATCATAATCAACATCATATGAGAACTGGAATGAAGGCCAGCAGGTGGCATGGGGGTGAAGGTGCTGGATCCCACATGGCAGACTCTGTGGTTCAAGTCCCAAACTCAGTAGCTTGAAAAATATACTGGGTCCATATGTGTGTACTCCCAAAATCCTGAGAAAAGAATGGAGGAAAATGGATTGTTGCATGACCTTCCTCTGAGGGATGATTTCTCACTCTCCTTTTCTCTGTGTCTCTCCATCTCTCTCCAGTGAGTATACATGCCCTATGGAAAAAATATTTAAAAAAACCCCAAAAAACAAAAAACTAGAATGAGGTGTCCAGAAAGACAGGCCAGAATACTCCTGGCTCCCAGCCCTGTGGATCCTTTCCATGAAGTTTTGTACATGGTGGACTTTCTCTTAGCAAATAAGCCAGGCAGCACTTAACCCTCCCCAGTTTTGGAGCAACATGTATATCCTCTCCCTTGGCAATTTCCTATACTCAGGAGTGTTAGTCTACTTTGTGGGCTCTCTAGTGGAGAGAAACCAGCATAGGAGACCTGCTGAAGAACAGAGAGGTCCTCTGGTTCAGCTCCTTCACTCCACAGACAGCAGGCTGCTATCTAGGGATCTAGGGAACAAAAGGAACTCTCGAAGTCACTCAGTGGGTTGCTTATGGAGTTGGAGTTATACCAGAGAAAGAGATGCCTATCCAGGAACACATCACTGCCTTTCTTCAGAGGAGGCATTTGAGGCCCATGGAAGGGGGGAAAGTCACCCAAGGACACCCAGGGAAATAGGGGCTGAGCTGAGACTAGTGCATAATTCTTATAACTCCCAAGGTGTGTTTGTCTCCACCCATTTCTGTCTCTCTGCCCTAGCTTAATCTGGGCCCAGCTTGGGTGTGGGTTTTCGGGTTGTCTGTGCAGAGCTAGTTGAGGCCTCCTCTCCTTCCCGATGGTACATAGCCGTTTGTTTTTTCCCAACTGCCCACAGGATCATCCGGACAAAAGTACAGCAGCCACCCAACCAGCCGGTCCCAGCTTCCAGTCACAGCATAGGTAAGGAGAACTTTTTAAAAAAATGTAAAAATCTAATGGGCTCCAAATATTCTAAAGAACTTTTAATCATTCTTATGGACAGATAATTCTGCATAAAACACTTCGGCACACGTACTAATGCGCCTTCTTTGTCATTCTCCAAGGGCTGAACCTGGTAAATGAATTTTATAAATACTGCTAAAAGGTTTTGAATTTTACTGATTATTATGATAAATAGCTTTCACCATGAGACAGAAAATTGAAATCTAAGCCAAAAAAAAAAAAAATCCACTAATGGGGGTCTATAGAATGTCAGATAATTAAAGTAATAAATCAAGAAAGGGATACTTATTCATAACATTTTCTGCATCATTAGTCAGTAAGTAGTTTTGAATGTGTTTTTTTCTTCTATCAACCAGCCCTTCTACAATTCTTTGTGCACCTGCAGTCTTGAGTGAAGATGTGGCAAAACTTCCCAAACTTTCTTTCTCTCTCTCATTTGCTTCGATCTCATGTACTCTCTGAACTGTCAAGGACGGCCAGTGGGGCTTCTGGTGCTCGCAGGTCATGTCTGAGCGTGGCCATGACTCAAGAGGGTGGGAGTCACATCTCCTATCACTCAAGAGCTGAGAAATTTCTCTTGCCTTCTTTTCAAAGCTTATGAGATGAGAATGACATAGATCCATTTAAGGAGTATTATTTCTCCACATGGGATCAAGGAAATATTTCTGGTTAGCAGAGGAAGTGTTATTCTACTCTAAGAAAGTGGGTGACCATTCAGGAAGCCTCTGATGTGTCTAGTGGCCACCGTCCCTGTAAGTGCTGCATAATCACATCTCAGTTTGTGTAACATTTCCACACCTCTGTCATTCCTTCTCTGACTGACAAGTTGGTGATGGGGACTAGGTGGATGCTTGGCTTATGGTTCCAACTCAGCCATTAACTCACCCAGTGAGCTGAGAAGGTCCCTTCACCTCTCTGAGCCTCGGTTTCCTCATTTGTGGATGGAGGGACACGAGCCAGTGCTCTCTGAGGTCTGTGATCTTCCGTGGTTGTCTCTTTGGAAAAAAGGTAAGACAGAATTCCTCCCCCATAAGAAAAGATTCTTCGTTTAGTAATCCATTCAGAGTGTTCGCTCCACAGCCCATGGCATTGGAGAACAGTGCTGCAAAGGGGGCAGGACGAAATCTCCATTCTCAAGGGCTTCTCAGCCTAACAAGGGGATGTAAGGAGAGAAGTTTGCAAAGCCTCGAGGTCAAGTTCAAGAAGAAGGTATAGGTGCTGTGGGAGCAGAAGGGACACATCACCAGCTCTTTGGGGCCGGGGTGGAAAGGGTCAAGGAAGGCTTCCCAGGGAAACGTTTGTGGCTGAGATTTGGCGCTTTGACTATTTCAGGTCACTCAGTGAAGATCAAACCCGAAGTAACTGATACTGTTCTTTCCATTGGTTTTGAGGAACAATTCTACTGTAGGCCAGAAGAATGCTTTGTTTCGCCCCTGAAAATTTTGTTCCAACTCCTTCTCATGTAGATACAGCCTCTAAGAGTTTACAAACTTAATTGAGGAGTGAGGAAACTGAAGTAAAGAAAGATGAAATAATTAGCCCAAGGTCGTGTTTCCAGTAAATGGTGGAGCCAGAACTGGAATCTAGGGTTTTTGAGTGGAGTGCAATTACAATACAGACACGTTTTTCGTAAGTGTCATGGGCTGCCAGCACCATGGCGAGCCTTGTTTATATGTGGCTGTTGTTTAAAGTACCAAGTGACCTGCTACCTTCTTTCTTCCTCTATTCTTCGCCTCTTAATAAAGAAAAGGTTGTGAGATTTGCATAAATCTATTTCGAGGAGCTTCTACTCGTGAAGGAAAAGAGAAGTGAATGATTTCTGCTTCTGTGTTTCTTAAGGAAGATCTAAAATCAAACCCCACCATTAGAAGAAAGGCACAGTTCCCTCTAGATCTATAGGGGCAAGGAGCTAGATCTGTTCCATGGAAAGCAACCAACAGCTTCCCACGCAATCACCACCAATTCTAGTGATTTCTAACAATTTAGAGTTGAAGGTAGTTCCATCTGCCTCCAGCTAGTGATAGCCCAAAGAAATGTGTCTGAGACTAGACTGTAGCTTTAATGAAGCAAGAAAGGATTCCCACAGCCCAGACTTGGGAATTCGCTGGACAGCTAGAGAGTATCTGCAAGAAGGACTGGTCTCTCCCTTGGACTCTGAGGCTAGGAGTTAATGTGAGACTCGCACAAGTCTCCTTCCCTCCCCTTCCCGCTTCATTTTCATCTTTAGGAATTTAGAGACCTAGCCTCAGTCACAGTAAGTCACTCTGCCTCCATTTCTGGGCAGGGCAAGTCTAGACTTTACCTGAGGCTGAGTTCTGGTTCTGCTGCATATTAGCTAGATGGACTTTGAATCACTTTCTCTTGTGGATTCTGTTTCCTCATTTGAAAAATGAGGATAAAAGCGCTCTGGGCTGTTGCGATCATCACATGGAAAACACTGCATTACTACGAAGCTTATTATTCTTCATTATTAATTAGTGAGGAGCAGATCGGTTATAGGGGTTACGACTTTAGTTTCTGAGTTCCATTCACCGCCTGCCTCTCATTAGCTGGGTGATCTCAGGCAAGTCACTTGCTTTTTCCGAGCCTTGGTTCCCTTACCTTTCCAATGGGATAACACAATAGGACCTCCAAAATTTCATGCAAAATGCGTGTTATGAAAGAAACTATGCGTGTATTTTAAAATTGTTTGCACTGAAATAAACTCATAGTTTAAAACCATTTTCCTGCAAACTTTTTGCAATCCCCTCCTAATGTTACCTAGCTTCTAAGGCTGTTCTCAGAACTGACATAATGCTTCAATGCCTGGCAGAGTAAGTTCTCAGAAAAGAATGATCACTATTAATATTAAAAATGATATCCAGGTAAACTGGAAGGAGAAAAGACAGCGAGGAGCTGAAGAGAAGGGGCGGGCGGCCCTTGGAAGTTTCCTTTCTGTGTGTGGTGTGTATGCAGGCGTTGTTTCTGTGTGCAGGAGTGCGCTGTAGGGGGAGTAAACTGCCCCTGAGTACCTAGGTCTCTTTTTAGCACTGGCCGGTGATGGGCCGGTCCTCTGTTTCCTCTCTCTTCTCCATCCCCTGCTTCCTGAATCCTTGGACAGCAGCGGGATCTGAGCTAGTACCCTTCCTACTCTGTCTCCATGTTCCTTTCTGCAAAATCAGTCCTCAACAGCAACCTGGGCAAGCGGCTGGAGGCCACTCTCATAGCTCGGAAGTGGCTGTTGCCACAGGGCGAGTGTCCTCAGAGCTTTCTGCTCCCACTCCTTCTCCAGCCTCGGCTGGGTGGGGTATACAGTGAATGCCTTCGCGGGCAGCCCGGAGCTCCCTCTGCACCAGCGCCTGCCGACCCTCAGCCCTCCTGCCGGGCCTGATGACCTCTTTTTCCTCCGTGCAGTGTCAACCGGCTCCGTGACGCAGGTGTCGTCGGTCAGCACGGACTCCGCTGGCTCGTCGTACTCCATCAGCGGCATCCTGGGCATTACCTCCCCGAGCGCCGACACCAACAAGCGCAAGAGAGACGAAGGTAAGAGCCGGCGCGCAGTCCAGGCAGTCCAGTCGTTTGGGGAATTGGGGGAGGGATGGAAGTAAAGGTGCCCTCGAGCACCCTCTGCCTGCAGAGGAGCCGAGTTCCCGTCTAGGCTCAGCCATTCTGTGAACTGAGCCCTGGGGAGGACAGGCAGGGAGCTGGGTGGGACCGAGGAATCCTGGCTGGCCTCCCCACCTGCACCCCTTGAGTGGCGGGAGCAGCCTGGCCAAAGCTCTGTGGCCTTTAAGAAGACTCCTGTGAACAGATATGCCCAACGCAGTTCAGAGAGGTCTGAGCACAAGCTGGTGTTCCGTTTGTGGGCCACCCCCGGATGAGAGAGAGAAGGACTGGGCAGAGCAGTCCACCCTGCCCTGCAGAGAGCCTGGCACGCGTGGGGTGGGTTCTCAAGGGGGCTGTGCACACCTCTCAGCAAGGCCTTCAGCTGTGGGCAGGGTGGGGGGCTGAGGGAATTAATAGTCATCTCGTCTTTGTCCTTGGGCCTGGAAGGAGGACTGCAGGGGGATTAAAGATGGCAATCTTCAGGGTTGGTTTTTCTCCACCCCCCTGTGCTGTGTGGCTCCTTTGCTTCCAGAGCTGGCAGCCTGGCCCCGGACATCGGCCCACCCTACCCCAGCTCTCCTTCCCCTGGATGGGCTGCCAGCACTGGCTGACATTAATGGATTTGAGAGGAGAAATGACCCCCTGGGAGTCTGTAAAACCTTAGTCAGGAAAGGAAAAAAAAAAAAATACCAGGGCTGAGGTCTAGGGCCTGAGAACAGCGTGACAGAAATCTTGATTCAATTATTCTGTTCCTCGGCACAGTTCCCTTTCTCAGCTCCGCGTAAGGGATGTATGTTCTTGTGAGCACATGCCTAAGTACTTAAGATCTGTAACTAGAAAATTGAGTCGGCCCAGCAGTGGATTGGCCTGTGGTCTGCGTGTTCCAAGCAACACAGAAGCAGGGCCTGTGGCCTCTGTCAGGAGCTGCTGGGGTGCATGGGGATGATTCATGGCTTTCGGAACCTGCCCCACACCTCTCCCCGGCTCCTGCCGCTCCTGAGCAGATGTCAGAAGTCTTTAACTCTGTGGGTAGCTGTGCCGTGCGCCGCAGGAGGCAGTGGGCCCACCATCTCTGTTGGTTTATGGAGTTGATGGTGTCATATCTTTTCTCCCATTGTCACCTGGACTAGAAGCGGATATGTCTAAACCCATCATGGTAGAGAGACTGTTGTGTGAGCCTTCGTCAGAAGCTAAGGGATCCAGACTGAGGTTTTTGGAGAAAGAAAACAGAAAAACAAAGAAAACAAAAACCCTCCTGATTTGCTGCTAACCATCAGACAGTTCCTGGTTTGGGGGGGATTGCTCTTCTATGTTGGTGGGTGCTGTGTTGGCTTGCAGTCACTGTTTGGCTTCTCAAGCTGCTTTGAAAGGTATAGAGGGGTCAGAATAGGGTGGGTGTTCGTTTTGACTACTCTGTGCTGGGCAGATTATTCCCGGAGGACTGTGGCGCATTTGGGGTATTGACTTTGTTTCCCTAGTTTTTGCTGTAGGGATCGTGTGCTCACCACAGAGAGACAGGGGAGAAGGGTAGTGAAAACTCACCCCCCCGGGCGGGGTATGGCCACCCTGCAATCCCTTCTCCTCCATTCTCCTTTTGGGGTTTGGGGCATGCATACACACACGCACACAGCCCAGCATGATTCACAAGCTGCCAAGTCAGGGACTCAAACTGTGAAACCGGCCATGTAGGATCCAGTGCCTTAACTTCCACGGCACCTGCTGAGCTGGGGGTGTTGACTTTTAAGAAGGACAGTGACAAACTGGGCTGTGTCCAGATGAGTGTAACCTGGGCGGAGAGGACTCTGGATGCAGCACCTGGGGAACGCCTGTAGGCTCTAGGGGTGTTACGTCACAAAGGAGAGCAGAATGAACAGGACTGAATGTTGCCTTCCAATACTTGGAGGACTGACATGGAAGAAGAAAAGAATGGGACTTTGTCAAGTGGCCTCCAAGGCCAGGGTGTGGCAGATGCAGAGATATCAGCTCTGTGTAAGGAAGAACTTTGTAAATATGAGAGTGGTCTAGGGATAAAGGAGTAGGGAGCGAGTGCCCCATCACTGGGAGTATGCAAGCAGACAGAAGTGGCCACTTTCTGGGTAGCTGTATGAGAGTACAGCTGTCCTGGTATTGTCTGACTGCCTGTCGTCCCATTGCCCTTAAGCGAGACCCTTCGGAGATGGAGCAGCCTAGATCTGGGTGAAGCCTGGAGCTGTGCGGGGACGGGCATGATTAGCCGAGTGCATGCGTTGAGTGAGCGAAGTGAGGCCTGGAGCCAGAGGTATGAGAAGAGCAAAGAAAGAAAGAACCAGCCACTAGGGAATCACAGGGAAATGCCAGGCACATGGGAGCGCTGGCGAGGGGAGGCTAGATTTGCAAGGGTGCTAGTCTTTGAGTCATTTATTCCCCTAGGCTTATTCATTTCTTTCATGACAGGGAGAGATAGGCCACCCTAAAGGCTCTTCATGCCTTGATCCAGGCTCAGTCTCCTCTGGCCTGGGGCACTGGTACGCACATATGTGTGTACCTGGTGTGCTCAGAGAGGTTCCTGGAATCAAACCTAGGACCTTTCTCGTGTGGGTCCGGGGGTTATTGCTGCGCCATCTCCTGGCTCCATGGATGGTATCATTTTTCTCAGGAGTCCTCTGAAGCCAGAGTATGGAGTCGTGGACCAGAGAGGCAGTAGAGGGCTGAGAGGAAGAGAGGCGAGGGTACTTATCCCTATTTGGCAGATGAGGTGACCAAGACGTGCCAGGGGGAGGAGCCACTTGGTCAGCATGGTTTTCAAGCTGCTGGGTCCAGGACTCAAACCGCAGAGTGGCCATGTGAGATCTAGCCACCTTACCCACCATGCTATCGGCTAGCCCAAAGGAGAATTAATTATTTTTAAAGTTATGTATTTATTTATTTTATGAAAGAGGAAGACAGACAGAGAAAGACAGAGAGACAGAGAGAGAAACAGGCACCTCCAGTAGGGTTTCCATACCGCCACTCACCTCCAGGTTCAGCCAGCCCAGATCGTGAGCATGTGTGTAGTTCAGTTGCATTACCACTTGGCCCCAGAATTAATTTTCATAACGTATTTTATTTAGGGCTGGCCATGTTGCCTGCTGGTTAAGGGAGCCTGATCCCACATGGCAGACTATACAGTTCAAATCCTCTCCCCAGTGGCTTGAAAAACATACCAGACATGTATGCATGGATGCCTCAAATCACAGCAAAGCAGAGAAATGGAGGGGAAGGGATTGAGGTGTGACCACACTCCATTGGGGAGGGCTTTGCTTTCTCCCTTTCCCTCTGACTCTCTGGCGAGCACATACATAGATTGAAAGATGGAGGGAAAGGACTGTGGTATGACCAGGCCCCATTGGGTATGCTTTGTCTCTTTCTCTCTGGCAAGTGACTGAGAAAATTGTTAGACCAATAAGTTGAGGGCCATTTTAGTCTAGAAATTCTGGACTCTTGTCAGGATGTTTGTCTCCAAAGCCAGACTTGGGCATGTGACTGAACTCTCCCATCCTATGACATGGCCACTGAGCCCAAGTCTCCGATGAGCTGTTCTGCAGTTTAGGCCTCAGGAAGGGTCCCCATAGCCTCTGAAGGCAAAGCTGGGGTTGACTTTGGAGAGGCATATTACAGCTGAGAGCATCACAGCTTTTGGGCCAACAGCCAGTCTGGGCCAAGGCTCAAAGTATTACTTGGAAAGGTAGTAAGCACCCTGTCACTGATGGCATGAGCAGGGGTTGGACAAATGAGGGACAGAAGCATCAAAGAAGACCTTCTGGTCTGGACTCTGACTTCAGAGGCCTCTTAAATGTGGGTAGCATGTGCTTCTGTGACTGTGCTGTGTCTTGTCTCTTGGTTGGTTAGAATGGAGAGCTGCTGTGGAGGAAGCTGTGGCATGGGCCTCAGACATCCCACTGGGCTGGGGACCCCGCCCAGACACCCCCTGCCTCCCTGGAAGGCCCAGAAGAGGTGATGGCAGGCTGGACTTGGCAGAGCAGGCAGGGCTGTGAATAGCCCTGGGTGAAAGGGCAGCCCCAGACCCTCTGTTCCTTCCTGGGCCTTTGATCTCTGGTGAGGCCTCCTTCCGCCTCTCTAGAGGGCCCCCATTCAGGTTCCCTCGACCTCCCCTCCCCTCATCCCGCCAGAGTTTGAAAGGCCCTGAACACACCAAGGTCAGTGGAGTGCGAATCCCTTTCACTAGCTCGGAAAGCAGGCCAATCCAGCATCAGTGTGGATGGTGGGGGCCAGAAGTGGCTTTTGGGGCAGTAGGGGGCACTGCAAATGGAATTTCCGGCCTACTGGGGCCTGCACTACCCTCCGTCTGACCAGGGCACAGGAAGGGCACAGGACCAGGGGTGAGGTCCTTTTTAAAACATGCCAAGTTCAATGAGACCCTCAAGGGGGACCTGGGGAATGTAGCCGGGGCTGCAGTCATGCCTGTGTCCACTCCTCTTTTTGGAGATGCCTGTCTCCCCTCTGATGTTGTGTCCCGCCTTCTGCGTGGGGATGCATCTCATCTGTTACCTGCTCTGTTTACCATCGACTCTCGAACCTCCCCGTGTGCCTGCCTGTCTCCTGGTCTTACTCTTGCTAGTTTGCTTCTGCTCACTTTCTCTCTCACACACTCATTCACACTTACTCATGCTCCCCACCTCCTCTTGTACTCTCATTCACTCTCTTACACACACTCACACTTCTCTTTCTTCTTGTACCTGCACTCTCTCTGTCTCTCACCAGCTCCCCTCTTCCCTAAGCCTCTGGAATCCTAGTGTAGATGCAGACCCCCACAGGAGCCATGGTGGGGAAGGAAGGGGTTTCCAAAGTTCACAGACAATGTGGGGCCCCAGGGCTCCTCCAGCCATGGGCAGGCCCTGGTCATTCTCTCCTGAGACCCTGCCTACTACTCTCAGGCTCAAAGCAGAAGGCTGGAGCAG